AGATGTAAGTGGGGCTGAGGGAAAGCGAGGCGCGGAGTGATTGAATGAGAAAAGGATATCCTCCTCAGCAGGCAGCTCACAGAATGGATGGCCTTTTGTCTGTGCTGTAGCTCAGCTCTTCAAATCTGCTCCGCCATACGTCAACTTTATAACACAGCCAATGGAAAACACTTAGAATGATAAGGAGCAAGTTTGATTCAACTCTACCAACACTCTATAAAATATTTTTCTACTCACTTCCTTGATTGGTTTTTGAGTTATGACACGACCGCACATCGTCTACACTATGAATAGTCCATAATGCACCTGGGTCCATATTTAACCTTCCAAAAGTGAATCCATTGAACACTTCATTTACCGTACACTAAGTTATTTAAACGCTTTCAAGCCATTCACACGTATAATTAAATTTTAACATTGTGGTTACAGTGTAAAAGTGGTTTATTAGTCATATGAGTATGAGTCTGACTCCAATAATGTGATCTAAAGCACTGGCCACAACAATATATATATATATATTTGTGTACATTTGGCAGGAAGTCATAGAACAACACTATATCCTTATGATCCAGAACACAACCAGAAAGTACAACAGTACAGTGACACTGTGTGTGTGAACAAGGGATCAAGTGTTAGGTGTTGTCTTTTATGGAATATCCAATACTAACATGTAGTATTTATATACCAGTCTCTGAAACCACTAAAAGCAGACAGTGTTGTTGCCAAAGACTGTGGCAATAAAGACCAAATGTTAAGTGCAAACACTGAGAGTATTTCTTTAGTATTTTACTAGACAATTGCTATTTCAAATTCTAGATTTAGTTACACTGACAGAACCTAAGAAACATTTTCCACATTTGTAGAAATTCAATATTTCCAGTGTCAAGCAACAACAACAACATTTTAATTATTTAAAACATACTTAAAAGGCTTAGAACAGATTCGCCGCAGTTTGCTGGTTCCAGAAAAAGCCTGCGCGCCCTTTGTGAGAAACCCACCCACACAGCCACCTCCACATACAGCTTCCTAATAATGCACACAGATGAATAATCAAACACAAACTCACACTCAGGCTGAGGCAGATATTCTTCTTAAGACACTGCACTGATTGAGATTCACTTGAAGAGCCTTTGCGTGACCTTTTCCTTAACCTCAGCCTGAACCACTTAATGCCTTCCCATAATCCTAATCATAATTCACACCTTTACCCTGCATTTTAATCTGTGCCTCAGAAATGAGGGCCTGCACCTCCTATAGACCCAGATCCCTGGGAAGTTCATGTCTTTACCACACTGCTTTCTATACGAGGAGAGAATATAAGAGGGTAAAAACTAAAATGAAACCAAGTGCACGCACACACATGCACGTGCGCGTGCACACACACACACGGATATTGTTTATATAAAGATGATATTAGTGAAATGTGCAATTATATGACCCACAGTTGCTTATTTAATGGTTATCACTGAAAAAGTGTGAATAGATTTTTATTTAATTCAAAAACAAAAGAAGAATGATCATTAATTTCTTTGAATTTGAGTTTTATTTCACAGAGATTTTTTATGTTTAAAGCAGTTTTGTTATATATAAATAAAAAACTGAATTAAAAAAAATAAAAACAGAATGTGCATTTTAATTAACATCTAATTATAAGTCTCATGTTTTGTTTTAATTATACATTTATTCTGTCACCTTGTGTGTATATTTTAATATGTACCAACAAGATTTAAATAGTGTTAAGTAAAAGTTTTACGTCTTTATCCAGAGCAAAGGAAACTGGAAAATGTCAGCGAAACGTATATTTTATGTTTTGTATTTTTTTGTATTTATTGTGGTTATGTTCTTACTTTTTGTTACTGCTAACTTTGGTTTTCACTCAAATGTCATCTTATAAGTCATATTTTTTCTTTCTTTTCCTCTCCTGTTCCCTGTTTACTCATTGCCTTCCGTCAGTACGTCCTGGCTGTGGGCAGCTCTGTCTTTCATGCCATGTTTTACGGCGAACTGGCTGAAAACCAGGATGAAATCCATATTCCGGATGTGGAACCTGCAGCATTTCTGGCCATGTTAAAGTGAGTTCTCAATTTATACTTTGTTGTTTGCTATTCAGTCTTCAACAGTCTTCAAGAATTGAAATGTCTGTACAGCCTATAGTTTATAGAACTGGTTTATTGCTGAGACACAATATATATTCTCTGTTGGTCTCGTTTTATTTAGCCTGTGTTTTCGTGCTGAATCTGTCCCTGCTGTTGTTGTGCCTTCATTGCTGTTTTGTTACATCTTCTCTTCATTAAGTTACGTCTATGCTCTGTTCTTGAAGAAAAGCAAAAGAAAACAGTTTGTTTGTGAGGCTTGTGGGAGAAAAATCTAATTTGTCGTCTGCTAACATAATTTGCAAAGTGATTACACAGTTATGTTTCCATTTATTTAGTTCTGTCATAGACTGTCATACTGTAAGGCCAGAAATGTTAAACTTTCAAAAAAATGAAATTTATACTTGAATCCATAAAAATGCAAGAGACCAAGTGTGTATAAAAAATGTAAAAAAAAATAAAAATCCATGAACATTAAAAATAGATAAACATGCATTTAACCAGGGGTCTCCATCTCAAATGAGCTTGGGGCCACTGTTGCCACTGTCATCTCATTGAAGGGCCAGAAAACAACAGCAGGGTCCGATTACATTATACATCAAGTTGTGGGCGGCATGTGGCTGGTTTGTGGGCCTGAAGAGGCTGGAAAGAAAATTATTTTGCAACTAGAATTTGAAAAGCCTTAAGATTTTTAGCTGACAAACAGAAACGTCTGTCAGTGTATGATTTTGGCCCCGGGGTCTGCAGGTATTATTATATTAAAGAGATTTTGCAAAACCGTCCAGACTGAACTATAGTACATCTGATGTGTCATTACATCAGATAAACTACAGTTCCAATGACTGTGACTCAGTAACTATGACTGACTCTATGCCGATGTTTTTAAAATAGTCTTTTATAACACCCTTAAATATTATATAAAAATACGGAGGACATCCATCTTTTGTTTTTCTTTTCTAAATGTAGTGTTTTTCTCACTACTCTTTTTTTCACGCCGTTCGTCTTTTGCCTTCCCTCTGTGTGACCTCAGAGCTGAGAGAGTCTCTTTCTTATCTTAACAGGTATATTTACTGTGATGAAATTGACCTAAGTGCTGACACAGTGTTGGCCACCCTTTACGCTGCCAAGAAGTACATTGTCCCTCACCTGGCCCGCGCCTGTGTCAACTTCCTGGAGACCAGCCTGAGTGCCAAGAATGCCTGCGTGTTACTTTCCCAGAGCTGCCTGTTTGAGGAGCCGGAGCTGACACAGCGCTGCTGGGAGGTGATTGATGCTCAGGCAGAGCTGGCGTTACGCTCCGAGGGCTTCTGTGACATCGACGCCCAGACCCTGGAGAGTATCCTACAGCGAGAGACTCTCAACACTAAGGAGATAGTGGTATTCGAGGCTGCTCTCAGCTGGGCTGAGGCTGAGTGCCAGAGGAAGGAGCTCACCTCCTCAACTGACAATAAACGAAAGGTCCTGGGCCAAGCCATGTACCTGATACGCATCCCTACTATGGCCCTGGATGATTTCGCTAATGGAGCGGCCCAGTCGGGCGTGTTGACTCTTAATGAGACCAATGACATTTTCCTGTGGTACACAGCATCCAATAAACCCGAGCTACAGTTCGCCAGTCAGCCCCGAAAAGGGCTCTCGCCCCAGCGTTGCCACAGATTCCAGTCCTGTGCCTACAGAAGCAATCAGTGGCGTTACAGGGGGCGCTGTGACAGTATACAGTTTGCAGTTGACAAAAGAGTTTTCATCGCCGGGTTTGGACTGTATGGATCAAGTTGTGGCTCAGCAGAATACAGCGCCAAAATTGAGCTAAAACGTCAAGGAGTACTTCTGGGACAAAACCTCAGCAAATACTTCTCTGATGGTTCTAGCAACACATTTCCAGTCTGGTTTGAGTACCCAGTCCAGATCGAGCCTGATACATTCTACACTGCCAGTGTGGTCCTTGATGGTAATGAGCTCAGTTACTTTGGGCAGGAAGGGATGACAGAGGTGCAGTGTGGGAAAGTGACATTTCAGTTCCAGTGCTCCTCAGACAGCACTAATGGTACTGGGGTGCAGGGCGGACAGATACCAGAGCTGATCTTCTATGCCTGATAAGACCTGTGCACACACTGTATTTACACTGGGCTTCAACTGACTCATGAAAACACAAACACAGCTATCACTCTGTCTGATTGGTCACATGATGTTTTATTATTTTTTCACTACTGCTGAGGAATATGGCTTCAGAAAAAAAAAAGCAGTATTAACTAATATCATGTCTTTTTTTTCTTTTGGATCAGGTAGCAAAAACGCACTGGGGGAAACAAATACTAAAAATATATTTGCACTACATGTGCATGTAAATATGAATATATGTACATTTAGAAATGTAAATGATGCCACAGTGTGGTCCTTAAAAATATATATAAACAATATGCTACAGTATGTTTAATATGTCTATGCCTACATACAGTAGAATGCACATATAGAGCAGCAATACTTCACATACTGTACTCCAAGATGAGCAGCTCCTGTCTGGAACATCGGTGTAAACAATACAAGGCTGAACAACACACAGAGCAGCAGTTGATGGACCATGGAACACACCACGTCTTACTGTAGAGTGCAATATCTATCAGATTTAACCTAAAGAGGTGCAAGTGAATTCGATTTTGATTTTTTTAATTTCTTAAATCCAGTTACAATGCACGGAGAAAAGGTCTTCAGGGGTGTTAAATTACAGTATATGAAGACACCTCCATCATCTCTTAGTAGCATGTACTCTGCACTACCAGTATCTCACCAATTCCTCAGATCAATTTCATTACCTTTAAAGTCCGTATTAACTCTGACCACCACAACACGCCGCAACAATAGGAGATTAATGGTTTCTTTGATTTTTTTCTTCGTGGAAATCCATACCTACTGGAGTACTTACAGCGTCGGCTGAAGAGTTCCGTTTCATCTGATGTGAGAAACTAATTGTTATTGCACTTTGTTTGTTACTTACAGTCTGAAAGCTAATGAAATTTCTGTCAGGAATATCTTCACTCGTATATCTCTAAACGTCTTCCTCCTAATGTCATCATTCTATCGGTGTTTGCAGAAGCCTACTGTTACTGTACATGCTACAAAGTGCACTGTGTTGTTTGGTAGTTAAATCTGTTGTTTTGTTTTTGTTTTTTATTCATGTTATTTTAAATGAAAATTAATTTTATTTTAAAGTGAATATGCTACTGAATATTCTTTAGTGTTTGGTAAACATCCATGGAATTGTCTGCTGACGAGCTCTGATGGTCCAGCTGGTGTTCGTGTCCTGTGCTAATGTGCTACAGAGCAGGGAGGCAAATGAGTGTGTACAATTTTTGATGAAAATGCAAATAAAACAACAACAACAAGGGACACGCTGTTGTTCTCCACACCATTTTTGAACCAGTGCGACTGTATATGTATTTATTTACTGTATATATTGCATTTTCACACACTTTCACTGACACATTCACACCGTCAACACAGATGCCAGCAGTCGTAGTCGGCCACACGCTGACCCACAGCTGCTGTCAAACAGTTTAATATCAGATAAATACCAATCAGCCATATCATTAAGACCACCTTCCCCAAAATTAACAAGTCTGACACCTTAGTTTGAGAACCAACATTTCTATCTTTACCAATTCACCCACACTCTGATACCTGCTGACCTCTGATGAATGGGACCAACCCACAAGTACTGCAGTTTTAGAGCTAATGGTCTAACATCAAACTTGGTTATTTCAGCTTCTGTGACATCAGTTTCAACAACAGAAGTTGACTAATGGTCTAGAATATTCCACAGACAGGTGTCATGATAACCAGTGTTTATTTTAGATTTCTGTGGATCACTGTACGAAACAGAATTGCCCACCTCTTTAAAGACATTATCCTAATTATTTATGCCTCTGTTAAATAACATAGACTGTAGATGAAAAATAGACATAACCCTAAAAAAAGACCAGCATGCAGGCCGCTACTGTAGTAGTGTTGAACTAAAGTCACTTTTACCTGATTTAGAATATAAGTTTATATTTCTCTGAAGAATTTACAGTAGCTCAGCATCTTACTAATATAACAACCTTCTCTCTACAGCCCCGTTGATCATGAGTCTGTAATAATGTAATAGTGGCAAACCTTTGGAATGTTGAAGCGACCTTGCAGTTTTTACAGACTTCTTTCTGAATGCACAATTTCAGAAGTGACCATCAGACTTCAGGAGATAGAGAAAGAATTAATGTTGATCCCAAACAACTAAAATCTGTTGATAAAAGTGTTGAATTCTTTTCCTGATTGTTGCCCAAGTGTTGAATTCTTTTCCTGATTGTTGGCTCTCTGTCTGCTGATAAGAAAGAGGCAGAAGAAAAGTGAATTTTTTATTTCTGTTTATATAACTGTGTTTCAGCCACAGCTTATGGGCCGTTGTTCCAATTGAGTTGTAGTAACAGGGACATGCTGACATAACAATGAATAAACAAGGAGAGCGTATGGATATTTGTGAATAGATCCTGAAACTCTTGATAAAAATCTCCCCCTCCATAACTCCATGTATATTTAAATTAATAATAATATAATCGCTCTCCAGAGAGTTTACTGCAAGTATCTGATAACCAAGACAGTCACTATTTGTAAGACCAACTCTGACACTGTGCCAGTGAGCTGAGAGCCAGTGATGAATTGAACTCAGTATGTTTGGGGAGCCGCTGCAACAACGCTATTTCTCAAGATTTTGACGCTAATGTCGTAAACAAGATCATTAATTGCAGCAGAAACAGCAGGAGACTCAAATGTGTCATGAGTTAGAAACGGCCCTGTTTACCACAGACATGTCTGTACTCCACAAGGATCTGATCCACGGCAACAACATCAAAATGAGCCATTGTGATGTTCTGAATGCATTTTTGCTTATCCTCGAAGAGTTTCTGCTGGAATATAATAATGTGAAACTTTGATGGTCATTTTAGTCCTTGTAGAAAAGAAAAAAAAAATCTGTGAAAGCTCCTGAGTCCAGATCTCTACTGCAGCTACGAGAGGAAGATTATGATCAAGATTTCTGCTGCTTGTTTTGTCAAACGCCATAGATCATCCACCAAAAACCACACAGAACAGAGGTGCCCAACCAGTGGGTCGTGGACCACAACAGGAACGTAGATCGATGGTTATCAGGCAACAAAGAAAAAATTATTATCATATTAATTTAACTTTATTAATTATTATTTGATTCCCTTCTCATTAGAGTCACCTCTTCAAAAGACGCATATCAAAGTAAAAGTCTTTGGAAGGGTTCTTTAAAAACAGGACAAGGATCAGACAGAAGACAAACTTTGGGCTTCAAAACTTAAAGTAAGTTGCATTCACAGCCCAACTTACTCACTTAAATTCAAAGCAGATAAGCAAATAAAAGGATCTGCATATTTCTAGTTGTATTTGTAAATATATAATAATAAACCAACATATGAATATTTATGCAAATACTAATAAATAACATTTATTTTTTTAAAGTCAGGTTTCTAGATGTCAACACCATGGGCTGGATTCTACTACATAAATACAAAATAAATAAATAAAAATAACTGACTGATTTGGCAGCAAGAACATATTTAACACAAAACACAGATCATTTAAGTCAGAGAGAAGAGAAAATGTCAAGATGGGGAACGGTTTGTCCCAGAAAGTTTCATTGAGGATTTAATTAGTGTTGAATGAGAGTTAAGGATGAAAAGATCCAGTCTGACGCAGGAGGACAGGGGATTACCATTCTGCTATGGAACTAAAGCTCTCGGAGATTGATTCTACCAAGTGCAAAAAAGGACCTGAAGAGAACCAAAGGGCCTCAGAGCCAGAGACACACTACCGCACCGCTCGCAGAGGTGGAAGATCGTCGTCGTAGTGGTGGTACATACCGTCGTGTGTTGCCATGCTAATCACAGAAAATGTTTTGGGAGTAAACTTTTCAAGACAAGGAAAAGTGATTTAACCAAACCCCAGTGTTTGCACTGGCTGTTCTAATTCCCTGCAGTGTTACATAATGCATTCTTTTATTTTTATTTTTTGTAAAGAGACCCAAACAATTGTGAGATGGTTGTTCCAGATTTAGATTATGTGGCAATCTAAGACAGTGAGTCACAAAATATACTTTGAATGAATGTAAAACACCACCAGGCAGGCTAGGAACGTATGAATGCAAATATAAATATAAAAATACCTTCCAATAAACACCCACCCTGAAATTAAATAAAAAAGGCAGGAAACTCCACCACACTTCTTTAAGCTAACTTTCAGAGGGTGAGGTGTAAGAGGAAGGGATTAAAAAAACGAAAAGCGAGTCAGGGGCATACAGTATTGTTTTTTCCTCATTAAGAGCGCAGACTGATTTCCCGTCACTGCTCATTACGATCACAAAAATAGCGATGTATGAAATGAGGCTAAATTTAGCCTAGCTTCACATCTGAAGTCCAGCTGCAGATTATTTACTACAAGAGTTTTATTCTGCCATCTTTGCTGTTTTCCTGTTTGTGTTTGAGACACAGACCATTTATAAAACCACACACATGAGAAACGACAGCAGGACTGTGACTGATGACTCTAGACCTCTACTTGGTTTCATGTCTTCATGGTTGATTGTGATTGAACACATTTCTGTAACAGTGCTCCCCGTGTCTGCTGTATTTCTCCATGTCTTCCTCCTTTCCCTCTAACCTAAACCTCTGGTGTGTTCAATGTCCGTTTAGGTTTTATAGAATCACTCGACTGTAAGTGTGATTTGTTTGGGTGTAATGATACTGACCCAGATTTCATTTTGAAAATAACGCTGGGTTAGCGACCAGGACTGAGAGGGAGTCAGCGGATCTTGGCAAGCTGTGACTTTCACACTTGGCAACTGCAATTTATGAACTAAGGAGGAGTGATTGGCTGAAAATAATGTTGTTTATACTGGGCCTTAGAGAAAGGTTGTTGGTTTATTTGAATTGTTTTAAATATTTATTGATTAACACGGTTTGCGGATACCTTCTCTTCTCTATCTTTTAATGTAAAAAAACAACAACACAGAAATAATGATAGGAAACACATTCTGTCTTTGGTCTGCTCACTGCAGGCAATCATACATGCACTGCAACATGATCATTTCCATCTACGCAAAAAGTCAATGAATAAATAATGACAAAGACTACAGCTGTTGGTTTTTAAGAAAATAAGTTGGTATTTGCTTTTCCCTTCACTCATCCC